CGCCTATAAATCGTGTGGCCGCCTACCCCCTGCGATGCTCTGAGTAGGAGTTTGCATTTCAGCAGGGCTGCTGCTAGGCACACGGCGAGCCTTATTAGTTTAATGAGTTTGTGAGTAAATTTTCAAAGAATAAACGAGGCTTATGGAGTTGCAGGAAGAGTATCCTTCTTGCCCTCTTTCCCGCTATTAACACCCATCATAAGCCTCCCTATTTTTTGGAGCAAGAGGTATGGCTCTCTTTTCACATAATGGTAATCATTGTGCAAATACTATAAACCTACGACAAAAATGAAAAAAGAAAAAAAAGGAATAAACTTACCTGTAACAATAGGACAAGGTTTTTAAAAAATTATCTGTAATAGTAAATAAGTATGTAGAATTTGTAGTAAGAGATTATTGAACGATTTGTAAAGTGAAAAATAAAGAAGAGAAATTACTGTACAATGCTATGAAGTAATTTCGCCTCAAATTATATTATCAGCTTGTTCTTTGAATGGATCATGTATTGTACTCGTAAAAATGACTTTCTTTTGTCCATGGAATTTAAACCTAGTTCCTTCATCATCACGTCTATGTAGAATTTGGTGCAGTTAATAGCAAAATTATTATTTGCTTTGTCTAATGGGCATATTATAAAGTTGTTTTCAAAGGTTTTGAAGTAGTCACAATTGAATTTGTATGGCATTTCGCCTTCAAGTTTTTTTTGGTGTACGGGAATTTCTTAGTGATAAAAGAATTTTTTATTCAAATATTTTTGATATTCTGTATGATTGCAGGGTTTATTCTATATTTTTCATGTAAGTTTCTGCAGTTGATTCGACAGTGTATTGATGGCGATTACAGATTCTGTATCCAGTCTAGTACTTCTTTTATATTTGCACTCTTTTGCATTCTATATTTTGTTCCTTTATGATTATGAATTTTAGTTTTTCATTGTATAATGTTTGAATGTCCAGTTATCAAATATTGTCGTAGATTTTGTTGCAGCTTGCATCTTTGAAGCGAGGACTAATTCACGAAACCCTTCGCTTTCGACAGCTTTTAGCAGAGTGTTTTGCTGCTGTAACAATGTATGTGCGTACAACTAAACTTCTGAGACCTCATGCCTTTTTAAGGTCGATGTTTTGTTATGCTCTTGCTGTGTATGATTCGCAGTGGCTCTATCGATTAGCTGCACATCAGATTGACGATGTACAATTTTTTTTGCTATTCGGAGGTGTAGGCGAGAAGAAATTGAAAGCTAAACCACCAGCGAGACCACCACGTTCGTTACGCTTGCATCACATACGCGTGCAGTCATGATCCGAGACTGTTTTCCAGGTCCCTCAACATCTGCAAAAAAGTGCAGCCAGCAATGTGTGATCAACGCTGATGTCTCGGTGGAGCCAAATCTCCATGTTAAGGTAGTAATCTTACTTTACCAATCTGTAGCTTGTGCTCACCGGAGGGAGAGAGTTGTAGGTATCTATGGTGATCTTACGATTCGCCT